CCCTAGCCGCGCCGCCAGCCACCCCTCGAATCCGCTCCCCCCCCCTGTCGCCGCCGCCAGAGGGGACGCCGGCAAAGTCCGCGTGTCTCCAAGGATGGTGGCGGCGGGGCGTTCTTGCTCCTGTGGCGTCGAGATGCGGGGCCATGGCCTCCCGATGGTGCGGGGCGGGTTCCGCGGCGGGGCCTTCTTCTCTCGCGGTGGCGCCTCCCCTCTCCGGTTGGCAATCCTGTCCTCAGCGGCGTCCTTCCCTCCCAAGCTACGCGCACGAGAGCGGCGGTTTTTGGCTTTGGGGGCCACGACGGAGAGATCCAGCGCGTGGGCGCACTGCCCCTGTGTGCTGCGTTTTCCCCTGGCGCGTGCGCGCGGGCTGGCTGTGGGCGTGCATGGTGCGCCTCCTTTGTCCAGCGCATGCGCTGATGGCCGTGGCCGTGCGCCGATGGATGCTCCGTGCGCTGGTGCACTAGTAGAAAACGGAGCTTTAGCGCCGGTTCGTAAAGGCCTTTAGTGCCGGTTCCATAACCGGCACTAAAGTGTGGGCACTAAAGGCCCCCCCCCTTTTAGTACCGGTTCGTCGGCACGAACCGGCGCTAAAGTGCCACCACGTGGCGTGAGCTCGCGCCCTGGTATGGGTGACCTTTAGTACCGGTTGGTGTTACCAACCGGTACTAAAGGTTTTTAAATTTTTTTTTTTTGAAAATTTTGGAATTTTTTTTTCGATTTTTATTTTTTCTGAATTATTTGATGATTTATTCTCTAATCACCTCTCTTAACTGCTCAAGTGTGGATCACTCATTCCAAATCATCTAACTTCTCGACCGGTCACCCATCCCTCTCACTACTCTAGCCCAAGCACGCTTAACTTTCGGGTTCTATTCTCCTTCGTTTCCGAGTCTGCACTTGTTGTTTTCCTGACAATAGTAGGATGTCAATCCTATTAACCCTCAGGAGTTTAGCTTGAGCATGAAGTCACACATTTCACCGTTTGAGTTTGAAACTATTATTCTAAAACAGTAATTATTTAGTAACGCTAATATTTCTTGAATAAGTTTGACTATAGTTTGACCACAGTTTGACCATAGTTTGACCACAATTTGACCATAGTTTGACCAGATTTGACAAAAATTCAAAAAATTGAAATAATTATTTAGTAACACTAATATTCTTGAATAATTATGTAGTAACATTAATACTTCTTGAATAAGTAGTTTGACCAGATTTAACCAATTTTTTTAAAAAAAACTGAAATTTGATTATATCTTTTTTTCCTTTTGGAATTTGAGGATTCTAAAAAATTCCAAACAGGCCGTAGGCGGTCTCCATCGGATGCGGATTTTCGTGCTGAATTTTTTGATATATTATACGTTTTTTTCCGACATCGTATGCAAAAATTATAGCCGTTTTACATTTTCCCTACACTTTTTGCATAACATGTCCAAATTGTAGTTTTCAAATTTTCCTAACTAGTAGATGTAGTAATATAACTACCTCTCGAAGGATTTTATTTTTTAAAGTTTTTAT